ATTTAATAATAGAATAGATCCGCAGCATCTCGCATCGAGGATCGTTTGTGGATCCAGGCAAAGACCCAGGCACAGAGACACCTCTAGACCCGTGCCATATGTGGGCACGTAAACCTAAAACTAGAGAATCTTTGTTCATTTTGCAATATATGTGCATGTAATTCTATTAATAAATAGTTTATGACGCATATCAGACGAAAGCTAAGCACAGTGATAAGCCGACAGTACAAACTGCATAAACCGAGCTGATAAGAGGCTAGAATTAAGTACATTTACACACACACACGCACACACACACGAGTAAGCAGATCTGCTTGAGAAGCATCTAATTTTACTTTGTATTCCCGCTTCGTAATTGCAGTGTGCCGTATATGACGTCGCTGCCCTGGTACGATAAGAACGATACCGACTTCAACAACGAGCGCGCCAAGAAGGCCTACACAGCCATGTTGACCGTCACGCCGAAGCAGCCCAATGACGACGCCTACACCAAAGTCTCCAACGAGGTGAGTCCTGGCACCAGAAGGTGGCCTACGGAAATTTGCATGGCAATGAAACTCAGCTAGCAGGATATAGATGCCTCTGGCATAGTTCCTTGCGGCCAATTGCCGTGGGATCATATGTATAGCCTTTGAAAGAGAGAGAGAGAGAGAGAGATAGAGAGAGAGAGGGAGAGAGAGACGAAGAGAGAGTGTGAATGTGGGAGAGTAAGAGTGAAATATAGTCAGAAAGAGAGTGAGAATGAGAGAGAGAGGGAGAGAAAGAGAAAAAGTGTATGAGGGATCAAGTCTTATAAAAATTACTATTTTTATTTATTAATTCAAGCTTTATTTTATTCATAGAAATTTATTTAAGTATTTTTTAAAATTAAATATTTATTTAATGACAATTTACTTCTATCTTGCTTCTTTGAGCAAGGGATTAGCTGAACCCTTGAAAGCCCTATAGTAGCAGGGTATTTAACACTCGTTTCTGTGCTCCTTTTCCGACTAGAACTGTTTGTTTGTTTCAGACTCATGCATACTCTACCTATGGTAGTGTACGTGCTCAGAGCCATCCCAATTTGCATTTATATGCGAACGTATAAATGATACGTTCATATGCAGGTGCCTCTCTCTGTGTGTGCATCTGAGCGTGTGTGTGTGTGTGTGTTTGTGTAAGTCTGCGAAATCGTAAACATATTTTTGTATATGCACAAGGCAATTACAACGGCAACAACACCAGCCGACAAGACATACATATTATCACAATTGCTCGACTGAGACATCTCCTGTAACTAGCTGAAAGGTTGTACACAACGAATTATCAGCTGTCTATCTAGACTGGCAATTACAATATAATATATATTTTATGAATTATGCCTGATAGACTATATAAATTCGTAATATGCTCTTTTATGTCATTCATGAGAGCAAGGTATATTTAAATGGCGCCAAGCTTCTACGCCGAAATGCATTTCTTAGCCAACTCCTGGGAGACCCTTGAACCAGCTCAGCTAACAGCATGTAATTATCTTAATGTCTTTTGCTGTGTAGGATGTGAGTCCATGTTGCTCTTGGGCTAATCCTAATGATATTTAACACTTTGTCACTCTGTGAAGATGCAGTCGACATCAGAAACACATTACTCAAATCATTACGGCAATGCATTGGAAAATCGAGTGTCGAAAAGTCGTTACTTTGAGCTGTACTGGGAAACAACTTATATATTTTCACTCAATTTTCGCTGGCTTACCATACCCTAACTACAGCTGATAACAAGCAAAACAAACTTTGCAACCAAGACAAATGCGCCAAAACTGCTAACGTGGCTTAAATACTTTTAATTTGAATACCCTAGTCCCATTCAAAATTATAGTTCGAGGTATAATCATTCTGTTAAAATTTGCTATAAAAAGTAGAAAAGGGGAAATGGCTAGTCTCATAATGTATAAATATTCTCCATTTGTATCTGTTCAAAACTGTCCGCATTAGTCTATGCCTATAAAATCTGAAATATTTTTTGAAAATCCCCTAGATCAAGTTTTTTTCAAATAATCGATAATTTTCTCGTTTCAAGTACATCTCTCGAAATCATTCCTGAATTTGGCTTTTATTGAATTATTGATAGTACCTGAACAAACTCGCGTTTGTTTCTTCGTTCATCTCTTTTAGCTGCCTAAGTAATTCGACTGGTTTCGGCTTTACCAAATTTGACTTTCCATTTTCTGCTTTATTTATTCTCACCCATTTCACTAAATGTCGTATGCTATGCTGCACGATTCGAACTCATATTAATACACATTTGCTGCATTGTATGCCTCGCTCTCAATCAAAGCCCTTCAACTCAACTTTATTGAGTTCGAGGTTTATTGTGGGGCAACCCATGCAGATTTCTTGTACATACAAACATACATACAATATATGTGTGCATGTACATGCATATATAACTCGTGGTGGTTTTTGGTTGAATGCATGTATGTTTGAAAATGTAGATCGGCTGATAGTCAGAAATGTTCTCTCTAATTGAGCTGCTTTACTAGTAAAATAATATTATTAGCCCAGAAAAATATTGTATATATTTAAAAACTCTAGTGCACTTATATAAATAAAGATTCCTGTTTTAGTCAGAAGTCTACAACTAGGTCAAGCTTAGCTGTTTGGGTTATACGAATTACTAGAGGTCTAAATTTAAAACTTTCTTAATTAATTTTTTAGATAAAACTAAATAAATAAATTAATTATAAATAAACATAACTTTTACGTAAACAGACAGTTTTTATTAAAACTCAAAATAAAAAGTCGTTCGCTTAGATTTTTTCCATAAACTATAATACCCTCTCCTTTACCCCAGTTGAAAATGTTTACAGGGTATTCAAAATAAAAGGCATATGTGCTTTTTGAATGGTGGCACATCTTGAATTCACCGAGAAAACGTCGCCGACTATTCACGGCTTCAATAATATAGAGAGGACGTCGCTGCGGCTTAGCATTTTGTCATGTATTTGATATATGCGACACGCTCTGCTGGGCGTGGTTCTAAAGGCAGTTGCCGTCGCCTCGTTGCAGCTCCACACCACTCGAAATCCATCTAAATGGCTGTGCGAAAAGTGAGCCTTGGCAAAATGCTTTCGCCCAAGCCCGCCCGCTAAGCCCCTTTGGGAGGCTATGGAACTGTGAGCTGATGGACTCAACGAGCACAGCTTTGTGAGCTGCGACGTGCAATAATTTCCGCTGGGCTTGCGGGTAAATCTCGGCGGCGCAGTAGTGGCCTTTGCCTTTTGTTGGCCGCGCAGATGTAATTGAATTTCACGGATGCAAAAGCAATTCGACACTAAGACTTGCAGTTGGGGATAGCAAGAACTAAACACTGTTTGCCGGAATTAATGTGCTGTATAACTCATTCGCAGATCAAGGACATCGCCTCGGCCAAATACAATTACACCTTCAGTGAGAACGAGCCGATTTCGGCGTTTGTGACCTCGTTCTTTGACGGCGTCCTGCTCTATGCCAATGCGCTCAACGAGAGCATCCGCGAGGATCCGAGCATGCTGACCAGACCCATCAACGGCACCGACATGGTGCGACGCATGTGGAATCGCAGCTTTACGGGCATCACCGGCAACGTGACCATCGACTCGAATGGCGATCGCATTTCGGCGTACTCGCTGCTGGACATGAATCCCAACACTGGCAGATTCGAGATTGTGGCACACTTTCTGCACAATCGTCTGGAGTTTGAGTCGGAAAAGGAAATCCATTGGGCCGGCGGTCGGGATCAAGCGCCGCCCGATCGTCCCATCTGCGGTTACGATGGTTCACTATGCCCAGACAACTGTAAGTAAATCAGCCAATTATGTTTTTTATAAACGAAATTTATAAGATATTGATAATGGCCTCATCCTTGCAGCTTTACCTGGGTACGCCATTCTGTCTATAGTCCTTGGCATAATGGTAGTCATAATGGCCGTTTGCTTCTTCTTCGGCTATCGCCACTATAAGGCCGAGGCTGAGATTAATTCGATGAGCTGGAAGGTCTCGCTGGACGATGTCATGTTCCGAGATGCCGCAGATCATGTGATGCGTGGCTCCTTTCACTCGCTGGTCAAGCAGAGCTCGCAGCTCACACTTATGTCCGAGGACATGGGCTCCATAAATGGCGATCGCCAGATCTTCATACCCGTGGGCATGTACCGGAAGAGCAAGGTGGCCATCAAGCCAATCGAGCTGGATAATGTTCAGGGCATTCTGTCGCGCAGTCTGATGCTGGAGCTGAAGCGCATGAAAGACCTGCAGCACGATCACTTGGTCAAGTTCTATGGCGCCTGTCTGGATCAGCGGCGCAGCTTTCTGCTCACCGAATACTGCCCGAAGGGCTCCCTGCAGGACATACTGGAGAACGAGCAGTTCCAGCTGGACTGGATGTTTAAGCTGTCCCTGATGCACGACATTGTGCGTGGCATGCAGTTCATACACAGCTCCGACATTCGCTCCCACGGCAATCTCAAGTCCTCCAACTGTGTGGTCGACTCCCGGTTCGTCCTCAAGATCACTGACTTCGGACTGCACAGCCTGCGCCGCACCTCCTACGACATCGAGAGCGACATTGAGAACTGCAACAGTCATGCCTACTGGAAGAGTAAGTGATATGTTGCCAGGTGCAATCTATACGAATCATCATCCTCTACCCTCTCTATTTTCTCTAACAGAACGCCTATGGACCGCGCCAGAACTGTTGCGACTCGAAAATCAACGCCCACCCGAAGGCACTCAGAAGGGCGACGTCTATTCGTTTGGCATCATTGTGCACGAGATAACCACGCGCCAAGGCCCTTTCTATTTGGGCAAGTGTTCGCAGGAGAAGACGCCACAGGGTAAGCAAGAAGAAATAACACTAATACTAATGCTCAAATATTTTAGATATAAAATCTATTTCTATCGAATTAGTTAAATATTTACGTTAGATCAAGCTAACGAGACAGACAGAAAGCATTACTATACTAATTAATAGTCCCCAATTTGATGCAATTTTTATATACATTTCTATATATTTATGTTCTAATTTAGTGGAAAATTGTAGAATGTCTAATCAAAACCATTCATACATAAGTGCTTTTACAATAGGGAAAATCACAGCTTTCTGTATCGGATGTACAAATACAGCTAAGCCGGAACCATCTCCAGTAGCTTCTTTTTTTTGGAGTCGCTTTTTTCGATTTTTTAGCTAGATTAGTTAGATCATCTGTTGGGGGCTTGCATCTTTTGGGGAGTGGTCTGGAGCAATTCTGTATCAGCTGAAACCGTTGCAGCTGCTGTTGACGCCTCTCCAGTTCCCATAGCCAATCAATTCTTGACTTACCCCAACCATATCTGCATTCCCGATTGCAAAATAAGTATTCGCAATTACAATCTCCAAATATAATCTCAGCATCTGTGAGCGCTAAAGGAGACGTTGATTGATCGCAATAGACACTGAATGGCTTGGATCTCACATACCTCTTGACCGATTGTAGACTGTGTTTTTTGTACTATCATAACTTGTTGCTTTTGTATGAAACATCAACTTGAATATCTTTGCTTCCGCCTCCACATCACGCTCATAGAACTGCACAGTCAAACCGCTTTGGGAATTCGGATGCCAGGTGGCAGGGTGTTTTTTATCCGACAAATTCCTCACTTGTATGGCCGTATCCCTAGTCATCATATGGGATTAAACAAATTCCAAATCTATCGTCTTCGAGTACATGTATATAGAAAAGTCTCTTTGTGTGATAGAATGCGACTTTATTGACAGGCATTATATATTATTATATAGTGTAGCCCATTGAACTCGATAAACAATGAAAAAATATCTGACAATTTTAATTTTTCACTAAAATAGGAATGAAATATAAATCTTAGTCTAAGTTCGTCATCTATATTTTTCCAGAGATTATTGAACTGGTGAAAAACTACCAACCGCAGCAGAACAAACCATTTCGCCCCGAACTGGAATCATGCACCGATGATACCAAGGCAGATGTTGTTGGCATCATCAGACGCTGCTGGGCAGAGGATCCTCTGGAACGACCCGATTTCAATACGCTCAAGTCCATGATCAGAAAGTTCAACAAGTAAGATCATCATCTATCATCTTCTTAAATTTAAGTTATGGAGAAATAAGAAAGCTTACTAACCTAGGAATATATACAGAGTGTGGTAAAAGTAATCATTTGATTTTATATTGTTGTATTTTTATTATTTTTAAAAGATCCTAATTTTTAATATTTTTAGGACAAATTAATAAAAATTAGTTTTCGCACTTTTAATTAATATTGGAGGCAGATCCCAAATATAACTTAACCAGATCAGTCCTAACAACATTATATCTTTAATAGATCTAAGTTACAGTTTTAGAGTTTTTCTGATTTCCCTTTCTATTATTCATAAATTTCTGTGTCGTCAGCTTCTGCTGCAATCGAAAACAGTTTTAAAATTTGTCTGTACTAAAAAAAAAAAACGATCATTTATAGAAAACACTTTCTAACCGAACCGACTGATTTCAGGGACAACGAAACTGGAAATATAGTTGATAATCTGCTAAAGCGCATGGAAATGTATGCGAATAATCTGGAGGAGCTAGTCGAGGAGCGCACCCAGGACTATCTGGAGGAGAAGAAAAAGTGTGAGAAGCTGCTCTATCAGCTGCTGCCGCAGAGCGTTGCAGCCCAATTGATCAGCGGACAGCCGGTGGTCGCTGAAACCTTTGACCAGGTGACCATCTACTTCAGCGACATTGTCGGCTTCACGGCCATTTCGGCGGAGAGTACGCCCATGCAGGTCGTGCAGTTCCTGAACGATCTGTACACCTGCTTCGACTCGATTGTGGAGAACTTTGACGTCTACAAGGTGGAGACCATTGGCGATGCCTACATGGTGGTATCGGGTCTGCCCATACGCAATGGCAATTACCATGCCCGGGAAATTGCACGCTTGGCTCTAGCCCTGCTCGAGGCGGTGCATAACTTCCGGATACACCACCGGCCCGACGATCGCTTGAAGCTGCGCATTGGACTGCATACGGGGCCGTGTGTTGCCGGCGTTGTGGGCCAGAAGATGCCGCGCTATTGTCTCTTCGGAGACACCGTGAACACAGCCTCGCGTATGGAGTCCAATGGCGAGGCACTGAAAATCCACATCAGTGAAACGACCAAACTCGCACTAGATGAGTTCGGCAGCTTCGTGACGACGCGCCGTGGCCTGGTGCCGATGAAAGGCAAGGGGGAAATGTTGACGTACTGGCTGGAGGGCGAAGTGCCCAAGCCAGATGAGGTGATGTCGCCCGGCAAGCTGCTGCTGACGAGGCGTTCGTCCCTCAAGCAGCCCCAACGGCAGCCGCATTCCATCTACAAACAATACTCAGAGCTGGGCGTTATGGCCTCGCTGGCACCGGCAGTGCCGGCCATAGCCTTGCCTGCAACCGAAAAAAATATCTCACCCAATCTTCGGGTCAAGCGCAAGATCAGCTCCAGCTCACCGAAGCTAAACGGCAGCTGCTTCGAGCAGCATTCCGTGAATCAAAAGACTGAGCCCAACAACTGTTATTTGGATGCTGGACAACAGACGCTGTGTGATATATATAGTAGTCGCTCGCTACGCAGCGAGGAGGCTGGTGCGGGCGCAGGAGCGGGCGTTGATGCGATTGCCAGCGATAGCTGGGAGCTGGCCAATTTCCGACTGCCACTCAGCGGCACGCTCAAGCAGCATCACAGTCAACAACAACAACAACAACAGGGCAACCACCATGCAACACACTCCAATTCCAATTCCAATCTGAGCGGCATTCTCCAGCCAGCGCCGCAGGCAAGAGGCCGCCTGAGGCCATCCCCCACGATCTCAACGTTGGTGAAGAACCATCGCAGCGACAGCTCCGCCGCCGACGCTGGCAGCACGAGCAGCGGGCAACGGATCAAGTTTGCCAACTGCGATGAGACGCCACTGCTCAGCGGCAAGACGCCAGCAGCACTGCCAGCGTCCGCAGCTCTCAATCTGGAGCGCAGCAGCAGCAGCTGCAGCAATCAGAACATTCCAAATCTGAGCAGCGACCATCCATATGGGTATCTAGTCAAGAACTATAAACAGCTTCTGTGCAAGCCCACAGCCCACTCGAATAACCAAGGCCATGGACATGGACATGATTTGTCCTTTGCCGAAGAGTGTCCTCGGGCTCCATTGGCTGCCCGTGGCACCACGAGCAGCGCCGTGACCCAACCACTCTTGGCCAAAATCAACTCGTAGCCGTAAGCACTGAGAGACACTGAGAAACGAACCTTAATAACCTTCTCTAACTAGTACCTAATCGTAATGATGATGCATATTAAATGTACTTGTTTGTGATAATATGTTAAAACCAAGTTGAACAATTTAGTTAAAAGCCCAGACCCACTATTTAAGCACACAATATATATCTCTGTTAAAACATAATTAAATTGAACACTCAATACTTTATACACACTATATATAAAGTAGACAAGTTAAAAGTTATTTTGAAAAGAAATTGATAAGATCCAGTTAAGTAGACTTTAATGTTACTGCGATATAACTAGACACAAACTGTTATAATATTATTATTTAAATACATATAAATTTAATATAAATTTAAGTAGCGAATTCTTTAAACACAATGTAAACACATTATTATTTTAATTTCTAAGCAAATTGTTCTAATTTAGTTACTAGCTTCGTTCCGATTAAAAAAACAATTAAAAACTCAAATTAATTTCGAAGATCATTAATTAGAAAATGACAGCTTGATTATTACTAATGTAATTAATTATTAATTTTATTGTAAAGTATTAAAAAATTCTGTTTCCGTAAAAAAATAAATAAATATTTATTTACGAAAAATTCACTTGCTCACAACTGGTCTTACTTTTTTTTGGTTTCATCAATTCCTTTCATTTTGGGACAATTTTTTTTGGGTAATTATTTATTTCAATTTGCAAACAATTATACACTACCCTTTGAATTAATGAAATGGTACATAAATTCGACCGCCAAATGCTGAACAGCATACTCGCCTCAATGTTATTTATCGCCGACACATTTGGAACAGTTGAAGCTAACAGTGCCAATTTGAGTAACAGTCCATTTTGAGTTTGAAGTGCCGTTGTGACCAAAACATGTTAATACAAGTGCAGCTGCTCACTGTTAATTAAAGATTTGCTTAAATCAAATTACTATATTTATATTATAATCAAAGTCTAGGCAGCAGCACAAGTAAAGGTAACGAAATTGTTGATTCTGTCAACAATTTAAAATCAGAGCAACCGCAAGTAATATAAAAAGAAAAAGAATTAAAATTGCATAATTAACAATGCAAATATCCATGAATGAATTGCAACTTTTTTAAAACTTTGTGTCAATACAATTTAAGCTGTGGGCAGAAAGTTGTTCCATTTTTTTTGTTAATTTGCCAATTACATTGTTGCTGATAATTTCGGTGATTTTTTGTGTCAATGTAGTGAAATAGTGTTATGTTGTGAAATAACAAAAACCGGAAGACATACGCCCATTTAAATAAATCGTTCCAATTATTATTAATAATATAAAGTGCGATATGTAGTATACATGTTCATATAATTTTTATCAAAACATACCATATATTACCAAGCACACTTAGTTATCTTTGCCACAAAAATTGCTCCCAGTTTGATTTGTCATAGTCTGCACCCGGGGCGGCTATCGTCGTAGTAATTATCACTATTTGCGCACGTCTTTTGTTTCATTATATCACGATAAGTTCATCGTTGACCTAAGTGTATCTATCTATTCAATAAATAAAAATAAGTACATTTGACCAACCGTAGGCGACACACAAGATGTTGTATTGTCCGCCGAACATCACGTTCAACGAGATTTGGACCAAACATGGCATCTCGCACTGTTTTATGGACACCGTGGGACCGGCGATATGCGGTGGCTTCCTTCTTCTCTTCGGCGGTATCCAGATACTGATGTACCGCAAATATGCGACACCAACAGATCCCACACAGATCACAAAGTCCCGGCTATATGCTTTCCAATTGTTTCTCCTACTCTTTGTGCCGGTGTTGGCTCTATTGAGATTCTTTCTCAACGCTCGTATCTATGCGGACAGTGCAGTTTACGGCTATATGGTTCGTTTGGATAGACTCATTACTCTTTGATTGATTATATTATAATATCCATTTCATTCGCAGATATTTTACACATGCGTGATTTGCTTCTCTTATCCATTTAGCATCTGGCTCATTGTGAAGGAGCGTCATTATCAGCTGCCATCGGTACCGACACGTGGTCATGGCCTTATATTATTGCTCTTTTGGACCATGGCATTGATAAATGAGGCGCTGTCCATAGTCAATTTGGACCATGAGGATTGGTGGTTCCACTTAAAAAAGTTAGTAGTTGATTATTATAATTATAAATTGATTTTATCTAAGCCTTTGTCTTACAGTAACAAAGATGAAATCGAGATGGGCATGTTTGTTACCCGCTTCTGTTGCTCTCTGCTCATCTTTGTGCTCGGCTTGAAGGCACCCGGCATTATGGCACCCTATAATCCGCACCAACGTCTGGATGACTCATCGAACGACTCAAATGGCGGTGTGCCAACTGGCTCTGCTTTCCGCAATGGCTGGCGCAAGCTGCGCACCCTGTTCCCATATCTATGGCCAAAAAAAGATAGGATGCTGCAACTCGCTGTGGTCGTTTGCATAACGTTGCTTGCTGCTGGTCGTGTTATCAAACTGTTTCTCCCCATTTATCGCAAGCTGTTGGGTAGGTCATGTTCTCAGCTAACGAAAATGGCGACAATAATCGACAATCTATTCTCTCTCGCTTCAGTTGACAGCCTGACTATCGAGCCCATTGAGTTTCGCTGGGACTTTGTGCTTATGTATGTTACTCTATCGTTCCTGCAGGGCGGCGGCACTGGCGGCATGGGCTTGTTCAACAATCTGCGAACTTTCTTGTGGATTCGCGTGCAGCAATACACGACGCGGGAGATTGAGATTGATCTGTTCAGGCATCTGCATCAACTATCGTTGAGATGGCATTTGCAGCGCAAGACAGGCGAAGTGCTGCGCATCATGGATCGCGGCACAGACTCAATTAACAATCTACTCAACTATATTGTATTCTCCATAACACCTACCATACTTGATCTGATAGTGGCTGTCGTGTATTTCATTTATGCCTTCAACTGGTGGTTTGGTTTGATCGTTTTTCTCACCATGTTCTTGTATATAGGTAAGTCTGAATGAACTTGAAATGTTTGCCGACCACTCAAATATATTTTCCATAGCTTCCACAATTGCTATCACGGAATGGCGGACTAAATACCAAAGGCGAATGAATCTGGCAGACAATGAGCAGCGCGCTCGAAGTGTAGACTCCCTGTTGAACTTTGAGACAGTGAAATACTATGGAGCCGAGAGTTATGAGGTGGATTGCTACAGAGAGGCCATATTGAAGTATCAAAAAGAGGAGTTCCTCTCCATGGTCACACTCAACCTGCTCAACACCGCTCAGAATATTATACTCTGTTTGGGCTTGCTCTCTGGCTCACTGCTATGTGTGTATTTGGTGGTGCATCATCAGACCCTGACAGTGGGTGACTTTGTGCTCTTTTCCACGTATCTCATGGACTTGTACATGCCGTTGAACTGGTTTGGCACATATTATCGTGCCATACAAAAGAATTTCGTGGACATGGAAAACATGTTTGATCTGCTGCGTGAGGATGAGGAAATCGTGGATGCGCCTGGCTGCGCACCACTGCTAACTGCTGGCGGCGCAATCGAGTTTTCAAATGTTACATTTGGCTACACGCCCGATAAGCTGGTGCTTCGCAATGTTAACTTCACTGTACCGGCAGGCAAGACAATTGCCATTGTAGGACCTTCCGGCGCCGGCAAGAGTACCATAATGCGATTACTATTCCGTTTCTATGATGTGCAATCGGGCTCTATCTCAATAGACGGACAGAACATCAAGCTTGTTCAACAGCAAAGTCTACGAAAAGCAATTGGTGAGTGCAAATAATTAACTCATTTGAAAGAACATTAGATAACAAACGTGTTTGCTTCTTAGGTGTTGTTCCCCAGGATACTGTATTATTTAACAACACTATTTACTACAACATTGAATATGCCAAGATAGGCGCCAGTGCTGATGCAGTCTATGAGGCTGCGCGCTCAGCGGACATACACGAGAGAATATTGAGCTTCCCAGATAGATACGAGACAAAAGTGGGTGAGAGAGGACTGCGACTCAGTGGCGGCGAAAAGCAACGCGTGGCCATCGCCCGAACACTTCTGAAGGCTCCGATTATAGTGCTGCTGGATGAGGCTACTTCTGCGTTGGACACGCGCACAGAGCGTAACATACAGGCTGCATTGGCACGCGTATGCACCAATCGCACAACAATTATCGTTGCACACCGCTTGTCCACCATCATCCATGCAGATGAAATATTGGTGCTAAAGGAGGGCACCATTGTGGAGCGTGGCAGACACGAGGAGCTGTTGCAAAGAGATGACGGCGTTTATGCAGATATGTGGCAGCAGCAGCTGAAAAACTTGGATGCCGAACAGAATGCGAACAACAGCTCAGAGTCTATTGCAGCAGAGGGAACTTCAGCGGCGACTAGTGAAACAGCTGGACGACCACAAGTGCCGTCAACTTCGGGCAGTGGTGCTATTCTTAGATCGGGACACGGACATGGAGGAGGGCACTAAGCGTTGGACATTAAAATATAGATATTAAGCCTAACTTTGATTATTTTTGTTAAATGTGATTTGTGGTATTTGTTGTATATGAACTGCATGTCTGATTCCTAGTTCTTGTCTACTTTACTGTAAAAATAGAAACATGATAATAATTTTTATAAACTTAAAATGATGTTTATCAACTACCCCTTCATTCATTAATGCACTGAAAGAGCGACGGCAAGAGAGCCGCTCTTAATATCGCTCAGACACTGATGCCGCTGCTTATCAGTAAGAACCTCCAGCAAGGCCAGAGCATCGGCTTGAGAACGACACCAGCTTCAGTTCGAGTGAGGATCGCGAGCGAAGCAGACGTAGAAGTCGTTCTGCAATACGTTGGCGATAAAGAAAATCGGCGGTTTCTTTGAAAAGATTCCTAAATCACACACACATATATATTTATAAATATATATATATATATTGTTCATGCGATATCGGAGCGAGGCGTGTACATTGTGTTATTAAATCTGCAGATTCACGAGTTTTTATTCAGCGAATCATGCGGCGACTGAAGTGTTCCGTGTTTGTGTGTACGTAGAAAGTAGAAAATAACCTAATTGATAAACCCAGGGACCATATTTATTCAGGAGCATGACGTAATGTTTCATTGAATAACATTTAAAATCAAAATAACAAAAAAAAAAAAAAAAACAAATGGGAAAGAAAAAAACCACCAGCATATACATATGTATATATATTTAATAATAATATTGATTAAACAGTTTTTTGCTCTGTGATGACCACATAAATAATCTACATGCATACATACATCTGTCCATATACCAGTGTATATACGTATATGAAAATATACATAGATGCCTACATACATATTCATATTCAAGTATATAGACAAAATTCAATTGATAAAGTGTATTATTGGATTCTGTTGCCCCCGGCTTGGGCTGTCACCAAGTTTATTGCCACACACAACAATTTCTTGCTGAATGCAAATGCTGAACACCATTTTCAATTTTCAGTTCTATTTTTGGTGATCGATGTCGGTCGTGCATTCAATATAATTGGCGTCAATAAGCAAATGCTTTATGAATATGTGGGCAATGTGCTTGTTGGCTCCAAGCCCCAGGACGAAGGGCATCCGGCACCGCCAACCACTGGCTGGATAGTCCGTGGAAAGCTCACGCTACAGCGACAGAGTGAACTTGTGATGGCCGCTGCGGTAAGTCAATGTAAACTATATATCTATAGCTATATAGATACATACATCGGTATATGAATTCCAAAACTGGATCCTTTTCACATTAAGGTGTATGAATGCTCAAATGAATATAAAATGTAACTATTTGAATCAGAGATCTGTAATATTAATTTCTAATAGTATTTTGACGTACTTATACGTACATAATAAAAAATATATACATATGAAAGCATGAATAAGTTCAGAAATCATAGGGAATATTTCTAAGCTATAAATAATATAAATGTGAATAAATGTGTTTTTCAAATCATAATTTGTTTACAACCAAGACTTAATAAAAACAAAACTGAATATATAAATGTATATTTACATATGTATGTATGTCAACATTTTCATATATATACTATATGCATATAAGTTGCATATATTTTCATTTATAGCCAATTAAAGTTAAAAAATAAATCAAATTTTTTATTGATTTCATGATCAATTAGTACAATTCAATTAAGCTCGAACAGTGCAAATTCTCTGGGTCCCCAGTTGATGCTCAGCTACTGGACCTGCTGGCTCATGCTCAAGTTTTTGCAGACACTTTCGCGAAAGAATTCGCAGATGAATTATAAACAATTTAACCTTTCCGCAGTCCCAGTGCACAATGAACTGAACTCGGCTGTGAACTTCTTTCATTGAGACAGATAAAATGATGCTACCAGTATACCCACCCATGCACACATATGCATGCACCCATACACACACACATGTGAATGATGTTCTGTATATTGTATCTTACACATATCAACATATACACATACATACATATATACGCGGAGTAATCAGTTTAGATTGTTTTGACTGTGGAAGTGGGGGAAGGGATCATAAAGCGGCGCTATGCTTATCAACAGACACATACAGAGACCCGAACACAAGACACAGACATGTGTCTGCCATATGTAACATGGCTCAGTCTGCCCGCTGAGTCTGACTAATCTTCATACCCTTCCAGACGCTATTATCATTTTCACACGAAATGTGCAACCCCATGAATGAAATATATAGATATGTATATGTATAAACACTTAATCTGTATCAAAAGCTGTGTAGATATCACTATATCCGTTTATTTATCTCTTTCTGTGCAAACTAGTTCCTCATTTTTATCTCGATGTTCTCGAGAAATTTTAATAACTCTGTCTTAGAAACGATTAACCTTAAATCGAGTTATAATATCAAGTACTGTAGATATTTAAAAAATTGATTCATAAAAAATTTATAATGTTATTCAATAAGTTTTATATTAAACATTAAGATTTTAAAGTATTTTTTTACAATTTAAATTAATCTGAAACAAAAATTAGGTGTAAATATACCTTTTAAATTTATTAAGGATTCAGTCTTAAAGAAATAATAATACTGATTAAATCTAGACTACAATTTAATAGATAGATTAGATTTAAAGAAAACTTAAAAAACTCCTTACATTAAAAATTTGAGTATTTTTGAACTTTTTAAATTAGTCAGATATGTAGAAATATATATATAATATATATAAATTCATTTCCTAAGTGTATTAAGCCGTCACTGATTACAAAATATTAACAATAATATTTTTGTTTATGTCAAGACAACATAGTGAATAAGCCAATACAGCTGATTTGTGCCAGCAAAAGCGAGTGTAGACCGTAGATTACTCGACTCGGGATTTCCCGACCTATACATAAACATTTCAATTAATCCCCTTTCTGTCTCTCTTTCATTTGCGCAATTTCAATTTAGCTGGTCATAGACGATGTAACGCTCAACAATTCTGGGGAAAAGTTCTTGCAGAACAAGGAGATGTATCCGCCCTATAAGCCCTTCAAGATCATTCTCACCAAGGAGGGGACCATCTCGCATGTGGTCTTCAAGGAGGGTGACCCCATTTGGTCGATGAACTTCAAGCGTGCCATTGCCAGCACTCTGCAGTTCCAAATCAAGTCCAGTGGCGCTTTTGTGGTGGATGAGGTTAGAGATCTTCGCATATGCAGTATCCAAATTAACTTCATTGCTAACTGCACTCATGTTTCAGACGGGCATCCATGGCCAGTGCCAGACGGAGTATTTCGTGTCTAACAAGACCAACTACATATCCATACGCAAGACACCCGAGCTTAAGACCTGCCTGCCCTACTCGGAGGCCGTGCACATTACGCGTAGCAATGTTCCCCCGAACACGTGTGAGTTCGATCACCAGAAGAGTGTCATCATTGGCAACGAGGCCATATACGGCATATTGCCCCACAATGAGACAGGCTACTTCCTGAGCATGGCCCATGCCAAGGGCACCACGCTGATTCACACCTTCGAGTCCACGGGCGAGGCACAGTACATTAACTCGGAGTAAGTTGAACAGTGATTGATGATTGGTAAATTTCTAAATCATTATTGATTTATAGGCTGCTGCTAAACTTCCAAAATGAGACACCGATCGACAATCCGATTGATATTGAGACCTCCATGTCGACAGAGACGTCGAATTTACAATTGCAGCCGCTGGAAATCAACGATCCGACTGGCGGACGCAATCCACAGCAGCAGGAGACTCTGATATCTGCAGCGGCCGGGCTTCTGGACAACCTGGCCGAGGCATTGGAGAGCACGGAGTTTAAGTTTAACGAGCCCTACGACTCAACACTATCCGATGTCATAAAGCTACTGAGTGAAATGGACTTTGAGTCGCTAAAGAAACTCTACACCGAAGTGGACATCGGCACATCGTATCGACAGGAAACGATACGCAACATCTTCCACGAGATCATACCACGCATCGGCACGAAAGCCTCAGTCTTCTTGACGCGTCACCTGGTTAAGGAGAAGACGATAAAGTCGAACATTGCGGTGCAGCTGCTGATCCCCATGCCCTTTCACATATTCGAGCTGTCGGCGGAGCTGGTGAAGCAGTGCGAGGAGTTCCTGAGCATAGGACCCGATCGACCGGATGTCCGGCAAGCAGCTATCTTGAGCTTTGCCACTCTCGTCTACAACGTGTACGTGGCACGCGGCATTGACAAGGATCAGTTTGAGGAATATGTCCAAAAGTATTTCAATTTGTACTTGAGTAAGTTGCATGAGTCACAGTCAGTCGATGAATAATTAAAACCTATTTGCCCTCACAGACGAGCGAGACTATGAGCAAAAGATGCTGTTCCTGCAGGGACTGAGCAACTTACAGCTGGGCAATGTGGCCAACTATCTGGAGCCCATTGTGATGGAAGAGGGAAACGAGGATCTCAGATTCATGGCTGCCTGGACAACACTCTCACTGGCCGACAAGCGCGCTGAGCGCATCTACGAGATCTACTGGCCCATCTTTGAGTCCCGCAACGCCAGTCTGGAGCTGCGTGTGGCCGCTGTTACCCTGCTGCTCATATCGAATCCCACGGCGGCGCGACTGATCAGCATTCATCGCATTATACAAAGCGAAACCGATCCACATCTAATCAACTACTATCGCACCACAGTCACCAGCATATCGGAGACCACATATCCGTGCTATCAGCATCTGTAAGTGGATTGAAAAGAAGAGTGTTCTTCTGATTCTAACTTTCGTCTTCCCTAGGCGTCGTCTGCTCTCCTATATGCATCGGCATCTGCCCCAGAAACCCGAGCCGCGCTATTGGGTAACGGGCAATTACATATTCGATTACAGAGACTCGAAATTCGGCATTGGCGCAATGCTGCAAACGTTTCTAGTAGGCGATCCAAAGTCGGATATGCCCGTTGTGGCATTTTTCAAGTTTGACACGGAAGCGCTGGGCAAATTTACGGGACAACTTGCAGTAAGTACTGTCCCTTCCATTGATTCACATTTTCCTAAGTCGAAATCGAACTTTCCATCTTTCAGCTATATATAAAAGCTCGCGGATTACCCGATGCTATCTGGCAGACCGTTCAGTCCAAAGCCAACGGCTCCGATCCCTTCACTTTCAAGAGCATCAAGACATTGTTGGCCATGCTGAAGGCGCCCATTGTCAACTCGAAGAATTTGCACATCGAGTTCATACTGCAAATGGAGGGCAAGACTGTGCTCTCCTACTACTTGAATCAGCGCATGTTCCAGCAACTGACCTATGACAACAGTGAGTAAGGGTAGCTGGCTGAGCTCTATATATGTATGATTCTAGCAATCAAAACATCATTATAGAAAAGAAAACTTTTTGTATAAATCGAGTTCATACATTATACAGAAATACATATGGATAGATAGATAGATAATATTATATATGCAAGCCAATTAACACCATCTAATATACGATATATGTACATTTCTGTTATCTTCTTTACATATCACCTTTTCTCCTTCTACTCTAACTCTCAAAATTCCACTGTTTCGTTGCTCAGTTTTGGACCGCCTGCAACTGCTTATTCGCACCGATAGCCACATAAACATGCAGACGGTGCGCTGGCCGTTTATGAACAAGTACTCGGTGCCCACTGTGCTGGGCACATCGTCGGATGTGCTGCTACAGACCACGGTGCTCACCTCCTTGCGTGGCAATATTACCGAGCATCGGAAGCCACCGGGCACCAAGCATACGCTGGAGATCGATGCGCGTTACTCATCTTACGCGACGGTGCGCAGCCGCAGCTACAATCCGTTTCTTAACCTGGACCACGAAATAAAACGGGAGCAGGGCTTCCTCATCTACATACCGTTTAGCAGCGAGCTGACCCTGAATGACAGCGCGCAGTGTGCCCGGTATACCTTCTCGCGGCCCCAGAACCTAACCAGTGGCTTGTCATTTAAGTCACGAGCCGTGACCTCAACGCGTGGCCAGGTGACCAAGACAGCCTCCGCACCCTTCGAGGAGATCATGTATCCAGAGCGAGGCAATGAAGTGGTAAGCAATGAATCCGATGGTCCACAAAGTCCTTTCGACTAATTCGCACCACCTCTACAGTTCCAGCCGTTCAGCTATGCCATGCCGGACCTGGGTGTCAAATTGAAGGTCAACATAAATCTGAACGAAATGATTAAGTTTCGGGGCATGCTACTAAAGTCTGAGTTCATAGAGAAGTAAAAAATAAAGTAAACACGGAATGGAATTGATAAGTAAATCTCTTTATATTACAGTGGCTTCTCGCGCAACATGGTCGTCAGCCTGATGATGTACGTCTTTGGATTTACTCAGCTCAGCTCAATCCACTTGGGTCACGATCGGAACTTTACGCTTCTAATGTACAACGAAAATGCCACCAAGGTGAGTCACTGCTGTCCCAAAAGGCCAGCTGGATTCATATGATATATATTACAGATCGATGGTAATATCTGTGTCGAAGACGTGCTCAAGACATCCGAGCTGAAGGGCAAGCAGATCGGATTCACGCTGGAGCACTCGGACGAGACGCAAAACGTACAATCCCTGCACAAGTGGAACGTCATAGTGGACATTCAGACCTCAACCAAGTCGAACTGGTTTAAGGTCAGCGGCAAGGTGCAACGGAACTCCAAGGATGATGAGGAGGATTGGAAGGTGAGTGGATGATGGAAAAACAATACCACTTTCGAAGGGGCTGAAATTTATTAAACCGAATATTTGTGTACCTAATTTGAAACAATGTGATAACCGACAACTTAATTTGCTTAGAGTAAACTCGCACGTTCAGCCCCATTTTGCCCATGATGATGTTTGTCTTCAAGCAGTGACAATGGTGGTGGTGGTGTGCTATTATTGCTGCGGGACGAGACTAGCCCTCCTGGCCCGCTATCTCCAGTTCTTCCTCGGCATTAATGAGAGCCACAATGCCGTCCTGCAGAGACTTGACCAGCTCGAACTCGGTGAAGCCCATGCGACGCTTGTTCGATATGTCCATAACGCCATCCTCGATAGGGGTGTGCTCGCCACCGGTACCGTGTATCGTCAGAGACAGCTCCTCAGACATTGCCTTCAATCGCTCCTCGTCCTTGCTCAGAAGGGGCAGGCGAATATGCACAGATGCCCGCAATGTGGTGCCCAAATTTGTGGGACAGGCGGTCAGATTGCCGTAGCTTGGATGACGAATGAATGTCAGGTTCTTCTCCAGTTCCTGTATGCCGGTGACCAGACGCTGGTAGACGTCACCCAGGTCACCGCACTGGGCCGCCGATATGACACGCACATGATCCTCCTCGTTGGACCAAATCATGAATGTCTCGGCGGGATTGTGGTAGACTCCACGCCCGGTCGGCCAGAAGCGGTAGCAGCCAGCGGTCTGCAAATAGCCTTCGCCTCGCGCGAAGAGAACGTTGCGCTTCACCATCTCCTGCTGAGTCTCGGTATCAATGTCACCCATCGTCAGATAGGTGCCAATCAGCTCGCCGTCCATGGTTTCGGTGGCCGCACGGATCTTATCCTCCACCTCGATCAGCTGCTTCTCTGTCAGCTTGGGGAAGAACGGCAATCCTTCAATATTACGCGAAAGGCGTATGCGCGTAGAGAGTATATATTTGCGTTCCGCATCCAGATTCTCGATCTCGTCCACGTTACCCCAGTCCACGTCCTTCTGCAGCACATCGCTATCGTTCTCTTCCTGGCCGTGATACTCCCTGATAATCGGGTCGAATAGCTTAGTAAACACATCGTAGCACTCCGGATCGGCCGCATAAATGCCCACAGGCGCATCATGATGCTCGAAGCCAGACACGGCACAATCATACAGATAGGCATCGACCGGAGATGGGGTGGTCACCAGCATGTATTCCTCCAGCAACTCGGGCGTGAGGTATTTGCGCAAGAGCGAACTGACATTTTCCTCGTCGTCGATCAGGGACTTGTAGCCAGCCATAGTAAGTTCCTGGTATTCCTCCGGTGACTTCTTGATTTGTCCACGCAGCCGCTCCAGCTCCTGCTCGAGGCGAGCTATCGTCGTCTTGGCCTCATCCAAGTCATTCTTCATCAAATCATACTGAGCATCATCCGGGCAGCTTTCGCACATGAACTTGCGCACGAATCGAATCGCATCTTCGGGTTTATTCTGCTCCTCGTAGAGCTTTATTAGCGCCTTGCTCAACGCATCGATAACTCCGGCACGCTCCAGGTACTTGCGGTATTGCACGCGTTTTGATTCAATCTACGAGAGCAAGGAATTCGATTAATCCAATTTATATTTTCACACTCGCATCGTCCATCTATCGTTCCCTCTTACCGAAGTCATTTTGCTTCCGACGAACCAAAATCAAATAACCAAAATTTAAACACAAAACAAAGCCAATGCCCAATACCAAAGCGACCAAATCAACACGCTTTATAAACTAGAGCCTTCGGATTTTTCCACACTTTATAGTAAAAAAAAAAAAATGTGAATTTTCTGCTGAATTTATGATGTGAGAAATGCGTCTGAAACGTTTAGTAGCTGACTGCTTTCTAAAGTTGAAACCGGCCTGAAACATATTGATCAAACTAGCGACGTTTCACTCCCAGCCTGCCAAGCATTCCGAATATGTGGGGCAGCAATTGTGGTTGCTGCAATAGACTCGTGTGCCACCTGACAATGTCTCTTGCTGTTACATAATCAAGTGGCACGCGGACAACAGGCCGACATACTGCAGCAGCGGCAGCGGCAGCAGCAGACCCAGCCAACCGACCCGACGACAGACAGCCAGGATATGTGTATGTTAATCGTTGCCGCAGTTGTTGTGGCTGTCTCCTTGGCTGTCGCTTCGTCATGGTAATTTGACCCACCCTCGCAGAGCATACCCACCTGCATGCCTGACGGCTGTAAGAATATTAATATGACCACAGGTTAATTATTGAATTTGCATATAATATTTATTGCATCAGCTACTGGAGACTTAATGAGATTTACGGAAATATGATTATAGACTTGAAATGGAATTATTTTAAATTTAAATCAAAATATTTTAATATAAATTATATAGCTTATAAAATGTATTCAATACATTCTAAAATAAAATTTTATATAAAATATATTTTATAATATATTTTATAGTTACTAATATTAAGCATTCAGTATACTCTAAAATACAATTTTATATAAAATATGATATTTTGTATTTTAGAGTGTATTGAATCCTTGTATAAATTTTATTAGCTGCATGTCTGCACTTTTCAAATATAATAGTATTCCCATTTAACCCTTACTGCTATTTCTATCAATGTGCCCAGCACTGTATTTGCCTCAAGTGCCCATACAGGGTGCATGTTGGCTAACGAGAGCACTTCTCGCATGTCAGTGGCTGACTTCTTGACTCACTCTGTGTTGTGCCGTCTCTTCCAGGCCTGCACCAGGTTGACCTATGAACCTCTCGTGTTCACCAAACGCCCACACACACTCAATGGGTATGTGGTCTTTGGCCTGGCTGACGAGAACGGGGAATGCCCGGAGACTGGCTCAAAGGTGCAGTTTGCGGCACGCGCAGGTGTAAGTACCTATATTTCTGCTATAATTATAATTAGCTTATGTTCACGATATACATATTTGTATTGCTGTAGCCCTCGGAGCATGCACGCGCCTTTCTACGTTCCGACAAGATTTCGCTAACGGACACCGACTTCTGCCCCAAGGAGGTGCTCAAATTCTCGCCGATCCCCACATCGAAATATTGCAAGCGCAGCAATTTCGAAAATTTCACATCTATAACACAATATGACATGGACTTGAAGTTTAATAATGTAAATTGAAGAGCACATGGGGAATGTCAAAGATCAATTATATATTTAGTTATTATGCTCTCTAGATGCCCGCCTGGTTCGAGCTGTGGTCCACGCGTCTAGACCATCTGGTCTCCGCATTGTCGGCCAACAAGGTGGACAGCTTGAATATGAGCAAACAGATTAACATAACGATGCACACGCCGCACGATCACTTCTGGTTGACGGTGGAGGTGAATGGCGTCCATTGGCGCATCTATCACATACCGTTCCTCTACAAGCTCGACTCCAAGTTTGATGCATCGCACCAGCTGACCTACGACTCGGGCCTGAAGCGCTCCTGCTCGGTGATCAATGGAATGATCAATTCCTTCGATGATTACCTCATTAATCTGGGCGAGATTGCGGCACACCCGAACTGTCTAACTCTGCTGGTGGCAGACTGTTCTCCTCTGCCGAAGATGGCTGTTTTCCTGACTCCGTCGCCCGACGCCAAGACCCTGGCCAGCAACTATGGACTTCGTGTGCACATTGGCCCCAACTATTTCAATTTCCGCTCGCGTGCCGGCAACAGCAGCCATGTCGATGAAGATCCGGTCTTCATTTACGTCAATCAGGCACAAACACCATATGACGTACGCCAGAAGCCGTATCAATGGCCAATCGATGACAGCGACTATGCGTTCCGGTAAGTAGCACTCATGGCCAATGATAATTCTTGATCTATATATAATATGATTCATTGCTTAAGGGTGGAACTCAACGAGCAAAACATTTTGATTGTGGAATGCACCAAGCTGAGCGCCACCATCCAGTTCGACATGTACAACATCTTGAACTTCGAGATCTACGGCGTCTACAAGCACCAGATGTGCGGCCTCTGCAGCAAGCCGCTTAACCGCATGCAGAACTACACGCTATGCGAGCTGGATGAGAGAGGGACGCCGACGCCGGCGCCGACGCAGATGCTTGTGCGAAACGTATCTGAAGTACTTCTTACATAAGAACAATCATAAAGTATAAATAAAGTTAAGAGAACGCTGTAGAACTCGAACTCGAAAAAGTAGCTAAAGTTCATGTACAGCTCGGCGGTCTATAAAAAAGGAACAAATATAACTTAAGAATGCTATTACTAAAACTTAATTAACGCAGTGATTATCAAATTTACAGAGATCTATGTACCACAGAATAATACAGATTTTACAAATTGTAGCATACTTATCGGGACTCCAAATTAACTTGATTAAAGAAAAATTTTGCATTCAAATATTTAATAATTTGCATTTATTCAATAGCAAATTTGAAAATGGAAAATGGAAATTAATAGCATTTTGATATGATTCATTGATTTGTTATGATGAAAAGCGAAAAAATTTGCTAGTGAGCAAACTTTTAAAGTTTGTGGTTCTCAATTAAATTTGTTGCAATTAATTTCATAAATTGCAGTTAAACAGGCTTAAAACAAATAATTGAAAATTCAAAATAAGAATTATATGATTAAAGTGTCATCTTTCATGTCAAAGGTGAAAAAAGTCATACTCTCTTCAAGAAAGGCGTGTTAAGTATCATGTCAATTTTAGAGATTAGTTCTGCTTCCAGCCCACTTGCTTCTCCCGATCGCGATGCAGTTGGGTCAGCAAATGCAATCGCAACTCAGCAACGGACTCGAGCGTATCGTTGCACAGTCTGCATTTCATGGGCTGCATAGTACCCTCGCTGCAACCAAAACAATTTTTAGTATAATATTCTCTCAAGCAAATAGCTGAAAAATATTTACAAGTTGCGCCAGCTGTATAATTCCTTGCAGTTCGCTTGCAGCGATAACAAATTGCCCATATTCTCGCTTTCCAAATCATATGAGCTGTGCATAGGGAATATAGCACGCTTGCCGTATGGTTCGGAAGGCGGCTCCAAGTCAGACATGTCCTCCCAAAGGTATTCGAAATTCGAAACATGACGTTCAATGAAACTCCGATCCTTGCCGAGCAGACTGAAAAGAGAATATGATAAATTAAATATCACAATTTTTTGCATAGTTTCAATAGCACAAACCGAATGAGCAGCGATCGCAACTGATTAAATATTACTACGCGATCCTCCGTTCCCACAGAGGGCATTTCGTTCACATCGAAATTGTAAAACATACTGTCGATATTATAACGCATTTGGTTTATCTGAAATAGAAGAAAATACAGACCATTAAAATCATCTCTTTTAGATATTAAGACATAACTACTTACAATACGAAGATCATCTTTAAGTATAACCACATCCAAATTGATGACCATGTCGTGCTCTTCAAAATGCGGCTGCATAGTGTCGGGATTGTACCCGAGCCCTGCTAGTATGGATACGTACTTTGTACGGTCCTTGTTGCATTTGATTTGCATCGTAGGGCAGAAGAGCATGGCCATGAGAGCACCAAAGCCATGTATGTTGGGCATCAGAGTTGTTCCACGAACCGTCAAATTGTCAAAGGCTTCAGTCACGGAGGCAGCCACCACCATTTGGTCATGACGATCCTGTGGATCACTGTCCAACAGTACTGAATTGACGGATTCCTTGTCAATGAATACGGACTTATACATGCCAATGCGGAGCATAGAATTCAAGCTGGCCTCGAGCGGGCTATATGGGCCTTTGAGGCGTATGCTAAGATTGCATTTATTAAGAGGCGGTGGCTCCAAGTCCGCGTCCTTTGGCAATTGGGCAAAACGTAAATACTCTTCATTGATGAGTCTTTGGTCTGTAATTGAAACATTACGTTTGGTCTCCTGTTTACGCAATCGCAAATCGTGATCCTTGCGTGACATATAGTCCTCGTCGGCCCGTCGAGCCAATTGACGGTCCACCAGCATATCGTTCAACACTCCACCGCGCGTATGTATCAAAACAGCGGCCACATTGTTGACCAGCGAATAAATCTCTAACTCGACCCGCCCGGACTTGGCAACCGAAATCAACATTTCGTTGGCGTGCTGAGGCCACTGATTATAAGAGCTAGCCACTGACGACGGCTGCACCAACGCCAAGCGGCATTCAAACATTCGCGGCGGCAAACGCTCAAAGTCACGTTTCAGCTGAGGCGACATAAGACGCAGCTTATCTATGGGCACCACTGCCACATCACCATAGTCAATAAAACGCACACGGAACCTTGGATAACCATTTATCTGTGTCTCTACCTTTAGTACTACTGCGCGCTGGTAAAGGTTTCCCCGCTTTGCCAACAATTGCAGACCCTTTGTAACTGCCTTCGCGTTCTGTACATAGCAGCTAAGTTCCAAGGATCTATTGAATATCTCCGACATGCTCGCAATACGCTCGGCGAGCGCTTGTGGCTGAAAATAAAACTTGCCACAATTGGCAACCTGTGGATAAAGGAGATTCACATAATAAAGATCAATTTAGTAAAAGAAGAGAATATGCCAAGTCTACTTACATGGGTTATTAGTCCATAGATGGTCTTGTCAAATACGGATGGCAACGTGAGTAGCTCTACAGGCCATTGATTTGATGGCGGCACCCAGGTACAGTCGCTGATTACTCCAATTCGATTCTGCTCGACATACTTAAATGCAGAGTTTTTACTGTAGAGCACACAGTTAGTTGATTGTTATAGAGATGCTTAATATACTTACTCCATGACGCGCAGTGGCCGATTTTGATTCTCAAGACGCATGCGCACTGCTTTATATACCTCGGTCATGACACGACCCGGCACCTGAACGACCTTTGTGGTATCGACATCCTCATCGTCTGGCTTAAACGTTACAAATACCTTTTCTGACCCATGCTGGAAAGTGACGTCAATGTTCTCAGGTGGGATTTTTGCCTCCAAAAACAGTTCCTTGATGCGTCGTGTGTATAGCTCGCCCATGTAGCGTGGCTCAAAATTGGTGAAGTAGACGGTACGACATGGATCATTACCGCATATAGTTTGGAATAAGCTCCGATCATAATCGGCATTCGCTTTGTTGCTGCGCATAAAATAATTTGGATAGAACGCTCCAGCGATGATTACCTTTAGAATTATAGACTTCTCGCGATCATCCCACATATGGCAGGCGCCATAGGGCAAGGGCTGTATATTGAGACTTGCGCATCGCTGGCGCAAGTCCTGTACCATCAAGTGCATCTCCTTAAGCGAGCGCAAGTTAACGTTAAAGCGCCTGGCCCATTGCTGTGCCGACTCCTTAAGCATACGATCCTGGCACATGTTCAGATATATCTAAATAAAATACAACAAATGATAAAACTTTAAATAAGTTCATAATGATTTTCCATTTGTTCCTTACTCTATAGACGCGCCAAATGCCAATCATATCTGAGCCAGATCCATCGGCAAATATGTAGTGCATCCAAAATGCCTCATTCATCTGTCCCCGGCTTCCAGTCACGTACAAGCTACGCACAGTCAAGCCAGCCGCTAAGGACAAACATTTCTTAAATGAAATCCACTGAGCGATGGCTTTATCACTTACCAATGACAATGGCCTCATCCAGACAATTGAAGACGTATCCCAGTATAATCAAGCGGCTGAGACGTACATCTAGTGGAAATTTGGACATGATTTTGCCCCAGAAGCTAAGATCGCCATCAAGCTCCTCATAAACGCCATCGACGGTAGTGTACAAGGCGCCCACCTCCTTGAGAAGCAACACCGTGTTTTGTATGTCAGAAAGATTAGGCGGAGACATAGCTAGGGCCAAAATCTCACTCGGCTTGCCCATTTCCAGTTCTTTGGCTTTCAGTACCGAATTTTGGAGCGGCGATCGCAGCATTTCTGGTATGCCAAACTCATTCATATGATTCATATAAAAGTCTTTAGTAACCATACGATAAACACGTCCGCTACGTAGGCGGCCAACGCGTCCAGCACGTTGACGGCAATTAACCTTAGAGGCCCATTCCAAACGCAAGCTGCTAAAATTGGAGGCGGTATCGGTGTGCAGAACCTTGGTTAAGCAAAAATCAATTACATAGGAAACATCTGGCACTGTAATAGAACTCTCCGAAATGTTGGTTGTCAATATGACCTTGCGATGGCCAAGAGGAGGAGGCAGAAAAACTTCCTCCTGCGAATCGGGTGACATGAGCGAGTGACAGCGCACAATACTAATTTTAAAGTTAGGGCTGCGAATAAACAGAATAATAAAATAAATATCTTAAATCTTTATAAATTGTTTTTTTTACTTACTTCTCATCGACGATTCGGCCTATATGTTCCGCCATTGTATCAATCTCGTGGATGCCCGGCAGAAAGATCAGTACAGCGCCAGTGCGCTTTGCCTCTTCATAGGACTGCTGAGATTGATTATCGGCCTTACGCTCCATATTATCAATGACCAAAAGCAGTTTAATGGCATCGCTATAACCCTCAGGTCCTATGCCCGGTGTGGTCCGTTGAGGCTCATCCTTCCAGTGTATATTCTTCAGCTGATCGCGATAGAATTTGACAAGGGGAAATTTTCGTCCATGGCTAGCGGTCACCACGGGAGGCAGTGATGAGCTCATGGCAAAGTATTTCGAAAACTCGCGTGTATCAATTGTGGCCGACATCAGGATGACTTTCACATGGCGTGAATTAAGTGCAAGCAAGCGACGCACCACAAGTAATAAGAAGTCCATATCTTGATCACGCTCGTGCACCTCATCCAGTATGATGTGTGTGTATTGGGTTAGCGTTTTGACTCGTACAAGGTTGTTTAGCAAAACACCTGTGGTGCAGTACAATAGACGCGTGTCCTCCAGATTCGACTGGCGATGTAATCCCACCTGATAGCTGCACACAGTACCCGGTTGCCATTTTCTCTCATGGCACACACGATTGGCAATCGAAATGGCCGCAATGCGGCGCGGCTGCGTAACGACAATATTACAAAATTCGCGCCGTTTGAATGCCTCATCGAGAATATATTGCGGCACCTAGCGGACAACAAATGTAACAAGATAATCGATAACAATATTATAAACATTCTTACGATAGTCGCAATCCATCGTCTAGATGACAGCACAATGCAATGTTGTAAACAAATTTTAAAGTGCAAGCACAAGAGACGGAATTTCTAAAGATCAATACATAACACAAATCATTGAATGGAGCAAAATGTATATGAAGACTGCTGGCAACTACTGCAACACTTTGGACGAGCCGCTGACGCTTTAAATGAGGCAAAGTTCGAACTGTTCTGCCAAACATGGCACGAGTTGCAAATGCAGCATATTTACTCAGCGCAAACCAATCACATTGAAGTGATTGAAACCACAATGGCCGCCTTGCACGTTGGCAAACGAGTGGCATGTGGTCGTCGCACTAGCGGTGAGCCATTCCTGGCGACGCGCGCTCAGCGTATTGGCGCCATATATTTGCTATATGCCATCTATAACAAGCAGCCAACGAAATTATTTGTCAAGATTGAGGTGTCGCCTCGCACTTGGGAGTCCCTCACCAGCTATGTGGAGCACCTGCGGAGTGAATGCACTGATCGAAGCGATACGCAGCAAGTTAGTTACATATTCTGGCAGCTGGTTAAACAGCAAGCTTTCCGCTATACAGCTTTGGATTACTGCCAGGCGCTAGATTCTCTGGCAGCCTACGACAGCTTGGAGAGCTTCGCGGAAGCCAAACAGAAAACAAATAATAGAGCGGCGCTGTTAAAGCAACAGCTGAATTCGAGCGTTAGCACGCTTTCCGACGAGCTACACGAGCTGGCGGAAACGGCAGCCAACTGTGAGACTTTGTGCGAGCTGGAGACGGCATACAACAAACAGATGGAGCCACATCGTCACTCATTTCCCGCTACAAACATATTCAGCCATTTGCGGGATGTTTTCTGTCAGATTAATGATCTGTTAACGGACGAGCAGCGCCCCACAACATCTCGAGCCCCAAATGAGCAACTGGATCTGCGAAAGCGAGCCCGTCTCAAAGCGATGTATGGCGAAACCAAAGAACAGGCGCCAACTGAAGAGGTAGATCAAATAGGATTGCCTGAACCACGCGATCATCACGAGCGACGTATGTCATCGGCGACTGTGTTTTCGCGCAAATTACCGGATGATGTGATTCGCGACTTGGAATGCGAAAATCATTAGTTATAATATATAAATTAAGAGCTTTAACTGAGATATTCAACGAATATTATATTTAAGATAAGTGTAAAATATTAAATTTATATGGATAAAAATTTAAGAATTTCTTAGATCTTCAACAGCTTGGTTATTGCTTCTCTGATGACTATACGACTATACTTTTATAATGGAAACCCATGTAAATGGGATTCTAGATCTAATCTACAGCTAAAGCATCTAACACGTGTGATTGCATATACACATGAATATTGTGCGTTAGTTTTGAATTCCGTCTAGCGTTCATTTTAAAGAATTTAAATGAAACTAGGGGAGGATGATATCCAATGGTACATACCTGTGTAGTCTTACCACAGCCGGTCTCGCCTTTTAAAATTACCACTGGATTTTCTCTTATGGCTGCAAGAATATCCTCACGTTGTTCGTAGATGGGCAGATTTTTGTTACGATTTAAATCGAATCGATATTTCTTGTAGTATTCTTCATCTGAGCGCACGATGGGCAGCTCTTTCATTAGCACTTCGTCATCATCGCTGTCCAGTTCATCGAGAGTTCTCCTATTTTTCGATGTATTGTACCCGTCAGCAAGCTGTTTATAAACAAAAAGCAAAGCGAGGCTCCAATTACAAACCACTCACACACACAAATATGAATGTGCATGCACACATACTTTTTTCATGAGGTGCTTCTCTTTCTCAACAACTTCATGTACATAATCTTTGCCCATTAACTCTCGCTTGATCGGCTTGGAATCTATAGTCTCTGTGGTAAACGCTGTCGGGTCGCCAGTTATATAGCCTTTTGGTGCTGGTGCGCGGCTAAACTGCTTTGAAAAATCAAAAAAGTCCATCAAATCAGAATCCATGTTCGCGGAAATCTGAGATAAAACTCATGCAAAACCAAAATTGTGTAAACTTGGTCCGCGCGCTACTAAGAATAAACGGTAAATGACAAATTTTCGAATCTGGCAATATTAATATTCACTCGCATTTACCAACACACATAGCCGATATATTGCTAAGCACATCGATATTAATTTGACGTGTCTATACGACAAAAAAGTATCAGTATCGATGCTTCAGTAAACTATTGCTGCTGACGTTTGACAGTACAGCTAAACGAAATATCAAACAAAAATTTTACGATATAGAACAAATAAAATATAATATTTGGATCAAAATTGTTGAATTAAAGAAGCTGCCTATAAGGAGCATAAAATGACTCGTAAGTGAACTGTACACTGCATATTTTTTCTTTTTTCTGTCTGTTGGCTGTAGAGAATCGCGAATCAAATAAATGCCGAGGTTTCCATAACTAAAATAATATGATTGGAAATCCATAAAGCCAATAGATAAAAGAATATTGATTGTATTTCTTGTGACCGCATTGTGTATATAAGACTTTATATATATCTAATATCTATATGTATATATGTGCTTATACATATATATGTGTGTATATGTATGTATATTATGCATGGCGCTCGTCTAACCTCTACAAAAGAGCTTTAATAAATTAGCACGCGAGACTAAACGTAAAGTTAGCGGTTAAATAAAAAATGCTTTTGAAAATATGCTAATAAAAATCATTATTTTTTTAAAGGCGGCAATCAAAGAGATCTGGCTCGGGCCAAAAATCAAAAGAAATTGGCTGAACAAACCAAAGGAAAACGCTCCGATGCCCTTACAGTAGAGCAACGCAAAGCCCGGTGAGATGGAAGTTACCTGATAACTAGACCTACACATCTACCTGTACAACTATTTGAGTATTTGTTTACTATTTGCAGGGACGCTGAACTGATGAGAGAGAAACAAAAGAAAAAGGAAGAAGATGCGGCTGCAGCTGCAGCTGCCGCGGCTGCCAGCAAAGGAAAATAATAACTATTGATACCAGTTCCAGCTAGAACAGCGTGCATCCGTGCAATCATCTAAGGTCAACACAAAATTTTAGTTAGGCATAGTCAGTTACAAGTAAGGAAAGCAGCAGCCGCAATCCGGAGCCAACGATCGAGGCCAGCGTTCGACTCCAGGATAATCAACATCAAAATCAATTGGTTAAATTGCGCTAAGTGCGCCAAATGTGAATGACGAACAACGAAACAGCAATGATTATTAATAATTACGCATCCTTAGGCAGAATATACACACAAACACTGACAAACAAAACCCAATGCGCCGTTTTATTACCCTGCTGAGCGATTTATGATCTTAATTATTTCTCTATATACCTGACTAAATTATTTAATGTAAAATAAAAAAAAAAATTTTCCAATAAAGCATATACAGCCAAAAATAAACCAAAGCGCTTGAGTATTACTTTTTTTTTATCATTTATAGCTAAAAATCACTGAAGCAGAATCAATATACCTATATTATTGAATATTTAAATAAAGAAAAATCAAATATTTTGTATTGTATTTTACGCTAGATTCTGCTTGTTGGCCGTAAAAAAAAGTGTATTCTATTATTTACTAGCAGGCCCGGCAAACGTTGCATTGCCCTCTATATTATTTCTAGGTAAAAAATTGTTGAAAGCTATGTTGTTCAGGCTGGGATACACTGATAAATTTATTAATCGGATTTTCATTCAAGCACCTTGTTGTAAACGACATTCTTCGTTTTTTGGTCGGGTGCAAGAACAAATAATGCGGATCGTTTGCCAACACGTGAGCATGCCACGTACAATTGACCATGAGAAAAACACGCATTTTCTAGATTGAGGCCACAAATANTTTTTTTTTTTTTGAATAGTCAGGTCTGCTCGAGGTCAGGAGACCGTAGACTGACTGACTACATTTGTTTATTTACTTCTACACTATTGTCAAAACTGTCACTGTTACCAAGCCTACTGGGTATAAAAAAAATTTGAACATTTGGGGAAAAAACCGCGTTTTTCAAGTATTCGGCAAATTTTTTCAGTATTTTTAAGACCCTATACTAAACTCGTTGCGGAGACAAATCCAACAAATCAAAAACCATGAAAATTGGTTCAGCCCAAATCAAGTTATAAGCAGTCTTCACTTTTACACAACTTTCTTTTATATATATAGATTATATTACGCTTTAAATTATTTGATGCATGCTATAATTTGGCGGCACTATTTGTAATAAAGTGCATTATTTTTATTTTATAGATATAAACCCATTTTTTTTTCAACTTATCTATAAAGCCTGTCTTGAAACTTAAATATGGATTTCGTTTAACAATGTATGTGCGTAGAATGCATTCAGGTGTAGGATTATACTTATCAGCTGAAAATGCAGCCTTTGTACTAATGGATTTTCATTCTGTATCTTCAATGTTAGAAAGTTATAGCTATAAACAGCGTTCTAGTTGTTTGCGGTTTGGTATCGAAGACGAACTTGTTTTATAAATGTATTTTAGATACATTAGCTAAAGTTCATTAGCTAAAAGTTCAACAGTTTCCTGCCAAACCCGAGGACAATTTGGAGACACCTTTCAAGATTCAACATAGCTAGATTTTTTTTTAAATTTTATAATCCAATAAATAATAATTTATAATGAACAGAACCATCTATATATTATGTTAAAACAGAAGTAGTACTTATACGTACATGAAACTATATCAAAAATATTAGATCTAGGTTTTCTTTCAGTAACTCTGTAAACTTTTTATCATTAGTATAAATCAAATTGTATTATCAGATCCCTCATTATTGTTTGTCATCATCAGAACATAGAGAGCATAAGGAAGTAATTTTTTAAGTACATTTTTTAAATTAAAAAAAAATAATAATAATACAAATAAAACAACCCATCAATAAATTTTTCGAAATTATATCTCATGGACATAGGGTATCCACAAACGACAGTCAATACTCTTTATTGAATTTGTGAAGACATTTTTCAATTGCAACCTCAAATGTAGCACAAATTTGCATACAATAGATCATTTGTAGGTCAATGAGAAAAAAAGGAGATGATATATGTATAAGCGAATTGCCGAAGCTTGAATACTCTTCAAAATAAATAGAAAATGCATAATTCGTAGTTTATTTCAAATTGAATTAAAGCAGGAATTGAAGAATTACAGTTGAGGCTACATAATTCGAGCTGTAACGAAAGTAAACTGGCCACAAATAGAAGTCCATTGCCAATAGGTTGAATGTAGCATTTACCATTTGTGTAAGCATTGGTGAAATGCCCAAAAACAAAAGTAGAAACCACGATCCACTGGCAAACAGGCCAAACTAACCAAAAATGGGCGACAGCGAAGCGTGTTGCCATCATATCTATGGCGCGTATCTTAAACAAAACTAGTCAGAGTTCCATGGGATACGGATGTCGATGCTGGGAGTGGGTCTGCAACTGGTAGAGGGTCGCGTGCGAGACACTCACATGCACACAGAGTTCTTGGAAATGCAACAAATACAACCACGATGACCAGCTGCCCGGGTAATGAGCGACTTTGACTAATGATTTGTTCAGGGATCTAGTGCAAAACGTTGTCGTTGATATCGCCAAGCAAACAAAGGTCCATTGTTAGTTTAGTCTATTTTTGTTTGATAAGTCTGTGGCAAGCAATAAAAAAAACACAGGCCAATAACAATAACAGGTTTTTTTTAAGACTTACAAGTTCCCATTGTAGAGAAAGCTCCACAACGAAAGCTTGAGTATTGCCAAGAAATCTCAAGTCTCAGAACTTTTCTATGCCAGAAAACAAAATACAAAAAACAAAATTAATCAACGGCGCCGTTGTCGTCGACGTCGACGTCGCAGCAGCCCAGCGCTTGAGAGTTGAGAGCCACAACCGTTCGCTGTCGATCGCCTCTCTATGCGACTCTCATGAATAGCGTGCGCGCGATTTCAGTCGCTACGTGAAACTCGCCGCAAGCACAACGAAAACGCGCGCAAACCGTGCCAAAAAGTCGTGTTAAAATTAAAGCTGGGCCGACGATCTATAGAGTTCTCGACAGAAGGAAAACAATAAATAATTATCATTAATTGCCAATTGTTAAAAAAGGGCTTACGTTGAAAGTGAAGTGCGTGAGAGATTAGAAAGTGTAAGTGAAATTTGGCCAACTGCCAGTCTACTTATTTGGCAGCCCTTCAATGCGGATGGAAATGCTAATGCAAATGCCAAGTGTGTGACATTATCAGCGGCCAATTGGCAAGCGAATGCAATTGCAAAAAAAAAAAAAAAAAAAAATTATAAATTGAAAAAAGTTGAAATGATAGAGTCTGCCTGGGCAGTGGGCAGCCTGATCGAGCGATCGATTGAACGCCAAATGCAAATCAAGTGATAAACGATCGCCACGAAATTGAAATAACAGGCGTACAGCTTTCGGCTGGTGGGGGACCAGCTAACCAAGTTCCTAGTTCCCTCCCCCTTTGCCACTGTCGATCGGAGACGATCGTCTGCCATTGACTGTCGCAAGGTACCCCTCGCCCCTCGCCACTTGCCAATCGCAAGTCGCTGTCGCTGTCGCAGTCGCAGTAGCAGACGCAGTCGTGTGTTTCATTTTATTATTTATACAAAATATATTCAATTTCATTTAGCTGTCGTCGTTGTTGTTGTTGTTGTTGTTGCCTTCGACGGCGTCGTCGCCGTCGTCTACAGCAATTCCAATATTCAAATGATCATGATCACTTGACTTCAACGATCGCGTTTCAAAGCTCAGCAATTTCTGAGCGCCTGCAACGGCAGAGGCAAACGCCAACAAATTATGATTAATACGCTAAACAACAAGAACAACAAAAAGCAAATGCAATTAAATATTACTACTAACAACAGCTCCCGTTTTCGTTCTGATCGCGAAGCCTGCTCTCACCTACATCGGTTTCTTCTGACCCAATTTGTGGACGGCATTGATGAAAACTTATGAGCAAAACAAAACAGTTTGTTTATTTATTTTTTTCCTTCGTTTATTTTTGCTTTTGCAATTGCGCTCTATAAAGGCATGACTGCATATATATAAATATATGTGTGTGTGTTTATTTATACTGAATTGTGTTTCCTTAGCGCTGCATTGCTGGGCATGATGTCAGCTCCATCTCCCACTGAAAGAGAACGCGTTGACATTGAATTTGACGTCAACAACCTACAATGCTAAATTTTATTTTTGGGCATATGAGTTTAATGTCTGAGACTAAAGAAAGTGCAAAACAGCCGAAAATGCATATAGACTGGGCGAACGTACATATATTGCGAATCTACAAGTAAACACACTCAGCTCGAGCGGCCTGTGTGGGCGTATACGTAATATTTAGCATAAATTATCATTTTTGGCCACGGTCTGCGCTACTTTTTAGGTATGCCAGTCAGCCATGCCCAATAAAAATCACATTCAAAGTCGATAAGGAGATACGAGCATGGAATAAATACAAGCCAATTGTTAAGCACGGCAGAAGTGAAACACCTGTTTCATCTGTGAATTGTGGCTAAGGATAACGAGATTCTGTGTAGATATACAGACATAAATATGCATAAGACAACTTAACGAAGCGTTGTCATTGCCCAAACATTGACACAAGCATATATATGTATATCAATATATAATTATATATACTCGAATGGCTTTTAGGCTTGAGTATTCAAACACATTAGGAACTAATAAAAGTAAAATAAAAACAGAACAGCAGAAAAGCTTGTACATAGATCGACTATAGATTGCTCTGTAATCTGGTATTGTAAATAGATTATATATACTTTTAAAAATATATATTAAAATGCATATACCATTTATATTTAACTACCATTTGAGATATTATATATATAAGTAATAATTATTTAAAATTAATAGCAAACAAATATCTATTTTGTTTTCTTTTTAATATCAACAATATCCGAAATATTAACACCGTTGCGCTTTTATCTCCTGCATACACCCGTTCAAGCATTACGTTTGCCAGAGTATGCCAAAAGCCAAGAGAGCGAGCAGCAAAACGTGAAGGTTAAAATTTACAAGGCAATCGGGCAGGCAGTACGATAAAATAGCGGAATTCTAAATGGAATACATTTCTAGAAAAATGTTCTAATGCCATAAATGAAGCAGCCGCACACCTTCACAAACTAAAGTAGGCGTTGACTTTGGTACAGTGGTGCACGAGCATGTTTAAAGCAAACGAAAAACCACATAATATGTATTTAATTAAAGGTATATGCTTGGCAAATGATTTTCAAACGCAGCTGTTTAGAATTTAAAACTGCCAAATAGATATTTAAAATTTTGTTATAGTGTTAAATAATTCCATTTAATTACAAGTCTTTGAGGTAGCTGCTCGGACTGCTGTCTGAACAAACAGAGGCCGGCTAAAAGCATTTTATTTATTATAAAATCTTTAGATATCTAGAGAGCACAAAATGCTCGCGACCTTGTGGACTATTTATAATTCATTTTGTATTTGTTCGCTTGCTCGTTTCATAAATGAATCATTTTTATGCCGATTTTTTACTATATATTTTCTCACTTTCGCGAGCAAAAGGAAAATCTTAGAGAATCATATTAGATTTAGTTGTTGAACGCGTTCAATGTCTGTTCCTGACCATGAGCAAGTGTGACGGCTGACTGCGACAATATATATACAAATATGAATGCCTAGATAGATGTGCACAAATGTATCTCAGAGATACATAGCGCCATGTGCGTGTGCTAAAAGTTTGCCATTGCGAAAGCAATAAATGATAAATAAAAACTTTTCATTCGTTCGTTCACCCTGCAACTTCAAAGGCGGCAGCTGAGCAGTGCAGCTGCAGCAACTTTAATTGATTTATACTTGTGGCATTTGCCAACTCAAGTGATTGAAAGCCTCATGCGGAAAACCCCACAGACAATATACGAACGTACGTACACATACAGACAAGAATTATCAGTCCCAAAAGTCAAGTCTCGATTCGAGTTTTGGTAAAAACAAAAAGCCGAAGCCGCGTGCTTTCAACTTGTCAAATTTGGTAGAACGATTTTTGACCGGTTTAGCAAAGCTCTGTCATATATCGAGACATTTGCTCCCACTAGACGCACAGATTGAGCAATTTTGGCCAACAACGAGTCTCACTCCAACCACAGATACAACAATGTTTTTTTGTCTTCATTGTGTTTCGCGTAAAAAGTAGCGCAAAAAATGTCAAATTTAATTACGCGTCGATGCGCAAACAAATTGTGTGGGAGGTTGAGCAAGAGTTCAACAATGATTAAAATTAAACTGAACAACAGCACGGCACACGATTCAAAGATACATTTGTATCCGCAAGATACAAACAGCGAGGCACACGCTGACTGCACAACAACGATTCGCTTTTAGGCCCCCAGCGAAATCGCTTTGAACAGCTTGATCAACCTATATTTTAGGCGCCTGCACAATTCAGTTGATTTGTTTTTTATTTTTCCTATGCCCGCTGAATTTGAAATCAGAGCAATTGACATGATTTATATTGACTATATTCATTTCAATGCACGCGCTGCGGGTGATTTTTTGTTTTTCTGTTTTTTTTTTTTTTTTGTTTAGTCGCTGGGCATATGGGTCATGTTTGTCTATCATAAATATATATGTGTGGATAGGTAGTTACAAAAAAAATCATAAATTTATCTCAATTCACTTTAAATTATAGAGAGCAGACTATACAAAGCATTGCTAAGAAAATAACTTTACAGTGATCTAAATTTCTAAGCTGCCAGTGCGTAATTCTTTTAATGTTACATTAATTCTAATTTTAAGAACATAAACATAATATCATAATTATTAATTATTTATTGACAACGAACATTGGGTAAGTTAAGCAAATTTAAATAATATATATTACAATACTAGTTACAATGCATTTTTTTTTAAGTTTCCATATTCCCAATAGAAGTTCCTATAAAAAAGAAAGCAAATAGGAATGTCAATTATTATTTAAAGTCTTATATATAGAAGACTTATGATTTTAGATTTATGCTGGGGTAAATTGTATGAATATAGAAATTTAATTGTTCAATTCAAGTATTATTTTATTAAAATGCTTATCAATTCAATAAAGTTTTAGGTATTTCTTAAAAATGAATTTATAACAAGGGTTATAATTATAAACCTATATATATATAATACAAAAACTAAATAAATAAAAAATCCAGGAACAATTGACATTAATATTAGCTATAATAGCTAAAGCACTAGCTGCCTTCGGCTTGATATTGTAATTTAGTTAGCTAAATTTACTAAATAGACGAAACAAAAGTTTTCTAAACAAATGAATCAATTAATTATCTCCATAAACTGATTTCCTCACTGCATACAAAATACATTAACTATTTATCAATTCATAGTCATGGCTGAATTGAGATAAACGAATGATTTATAACTTGATTATTAGTCGCGACAATTGACTGCTTCAGACTATAAGGTGAAAATATCAGATGGCTGCTTTGTAAATGTATTTTTGAATCAATTAACACAATTGCATATTTATTTCGGTAGCTGCATAAACTTAAAAGACTTTCCATCGTTCAGCATTTTGGAGATGCATCTCTTTATTCAAACTCTCTTGAGCTCTTTCCATCTGCCAACCTTTCACATTTTTCGACATGAAAAGGCAGCATTCAATTTCTTGAATGCAGTTGAAAAGCGCGCCCACACACACACGTTGTGCCATGACGATCGTAAGCAAGCAACCAGTTGCACTTGTCAAGCACTTTCCAGCTGAAGCCCACATAATCAACGAAGTTGCCTTTGAAATTCTACAGAAAAGTCGCCAACGAATCGCGCTGAAGTCGCGCGCACTCGATCGCCTACGCGTTCGCTTGAACTTGACTCTTTGCGCTTTGCGAACTGTTTATGACCACATGGCAGCTCGCAACTCAGTTTAATTGTATGCAGAAGCGGAAGTCAGCGTCACCATTAGATTTTAATGTGCTTATTACACGGGCCATTAGCAGATGCTTTCGACTGAAAATGGACAACGTGGCGCACATTGCTCAACTGATAGCTGGAAGCATTGTTTACGTGTCACCATCGACGCCACTTGGCCAATCAGCCACCTACACACACACTCCGATGTGTGTATGGGTTCGCATAGTTGGCATACGGCTCATTCCAATGTATGTAGGTTGCCACACAGTCCAGCTAATTGGCCGCATCAAGAGCTTCAAGTGCTCTGCTCTAAAGACCACATACAGATAGACCTACTATATACCAGACTCTCAGTCTCAACTCCAAGTCTTGCCACATACACTATAAATGTGTATAGAGCGTATCGTATAACAATAGACATGTAACTGTATATATGTATGTACATGTATAGAAGCCCTAAAAGCTCTGTGGAAACTGCGCATATTATTCTCAAATGGTTTAAATTTATTTCTATTTACACAACACCCAACACAACTATAGGAGTAAAAGACGCGTGCGAAACGCGTTGAAGACGCGCCATATGTCTGATTAAATTTCAACCAGCTAGCTAGCACCGATCTCACGAATATGCCCAACTATAGCAAAACGTTTACCCACCAATCTCAGCCATAAAATTTACGCTCTCCGACAGGGCTCCCCGTCCACCCTTTCCCCTCTTGGCCTATGCCCTTTTTTAATTGCGTAATTTGTTTAGTTTTGTTTTTGTTTTTATACCCTGAACCCATTTTCAATGGGAAATCAGGGTATAATGGTTTTGTTGAAATGTATGTAACAGGGAGAAGGAGGCGTGGCAGACCCCACAAAGTATATATATTCTTGATCAGGGTGACGAGCTGAGTTGATTTGGCCCTGTCCGTCTGTCTGTCCGTCTGTCCGTCTGTCCGTCTGTCCGTCTGTCCGTNGTTTATGCGTGGGTGCTTGTGTGTGTATGTGTTTGTGTATGTGTGTGTATGTGTTTGTGTATGTGTGTGTGTATGTGTATGTGTGTGTGTATGCGCTTGTGTATGTATGCGTGTGTGTGTGTGTATGTGTGTATGTATGCCTGTGTGTGTGTGTGTGTGTGTGTGTGTGCGTGTTTCTTGTGTAAGCTGAAAGACGCGAAAAATGATTGAAATATCTATTGCTCCAAGGGTTCAGGGGATCTCGTAGTCGAGCAGTCTCGACTAGAGCTTTCTTACTTGTTTATTTTGTATTTGGCTTTTAGTCATTTTCGTCATTCTTTTCACAACTTTTTGCGTCAAGTCATTTAGCGCATGGGATATATTTAACAGGATAGGAAAAGATGTATCAATAGTATATTATATAAATACATAATTATATACATACATAATACAAGCAGCGTTAAATTAATATATGTAGTTCCAGAGTAATTACTAATTAGATTGTAATATAATGAATGCGCTAAAATAATTATATAAGAGAATAAGCTTCATTGATACAATTAAAAATTGAAGGCTTCAAGATAATTAAGGTTTCAGTTGAGCAAAGTCAACTGCATACTGCGGGATTACGGGTTAAAAACAAGTTAAAATTTAATTTAACATTCATATTTCTCCGTTTTCGCAATGCACTATATAATTTAAAAGTTAATCTGTAGAGAAGGTCAACGGTGATTCACCTGGTAATCTATGAGTGAGATCTTAAACTTATTTATATAAAAAATCTCATCCATAATCAACTTTCAGGCTTGAAACCAATATACTCTGTTTGCTATGTGAACAAGTAAGAAAACAAACATCTATAGGGAACTACCTTCAGTCGAAAAGAATTTAACGATTCCACAGTTATATATGTAAGCAGCAAATGAGCAACAAACTTAGATCATCATGCTCTGCCTCTTCGATATTTTTATTTATTTATACAATTTAAGCGCTTTCTGCGAGAGGTGTGAGGAAACGAAAATTCGCTTCGCCTATTTTCCGGTCTGTTGGCATTGCGAGTTTAAATTTAACTGCTGCTCTGCAATAGATGTTCCTGACACTGACTTTTGCAATGGCAACTGGTTAATGCTTTCGTAAAGTGCTTCCATGTATGACAAGACATTTTGGCGTCTTGCGATTATCTCATCAGTGTTGTATTGCTCCGGGCTTAAAACTAGTTAACCAGCACGTCCATAGCAGATAAGGCAAAACCGGCTAAGCTTCAATTTGAATTTGAATTCGAAATTTGCATGTGGCAACATCAACATCAACATCAAATTGGAGCTGCCGTTGTCGGCGTTGCATGTTAAGCGTTTGATTAATTTAATGACAATGCCCGTAGGCGGCAATCGATGAGGCATCACTTACATCTATCTACATAAATATACGCTAGTATCTGTGTGTGCAAGTGTGTGTGTGTGTGTGTGTGTAAGTAACTCATGTGAACGATTTCAGCTTTCGAAAGACTTGCAAGGAAATTGGCGCTATCCATTTGATTTGATAAATTATTGAAAGCATGTTTTTTATGCAAAAAAGAGTTTGCTATATGTAACAAATATACATATATGTATATTTATATGTACATATAATCTATACTATGCATAAATTCACGATACAGAAAAATTTCGATATCCGAAACGCTTTTGTTATTGTGCTATTTTTCTAAATTTAAACACGATTTGTTTTATAAACAATTTTGTATTGACCGAATATACAGGCATTGCTTGACGTCATACCAAAATCTGTTTCACTTCGAATATTTCGTTTGCCTTAGGCACATTGCAAACAATCGCACATAAATTCTTTTGGAAATGTTGATAAGATAACCTTTTCCAAGCATTGTGCTCGTAATGCATCTGGGAATTGCAACACATACTCATAATGTGTGTGATGCTGACAAGCAGTTGAGCGAACGTTAAAGTAAATAGTAAAGTTAAGTGATTAACTTGCTTGAGGTGTGACAGAAAATCTTCTTATCTGTAAGTGTCACTTAATAAGATAATTCCCTACAAGTATTCTTAATTTCGATTATACCTTTAATGACTTATAAAATTGCTGGAAAAAATAGAAGACTTACATATATGTCTATTACGTCATCATTTTGAGAAAACTGAGTTCAAGGTGTCAAAAGCCTATTTTATAGTTTTAAAAGCATTTTTTGGCACATCTGGAGAAAATACATACAATTTTATGATTTTATATTGGGCAGAATATATGTATGTATGTATGTATATACACACATGCACAAAATAAATTTGAAGCTCCATAAAAACTAAATAAATAAATTCTATGTATATATACGGAACATATACATACATATAAAGGTCAGGGCAGCTAAAACATAATTCAATTAGAATAGACTAGCTGTATTTAGTTTTTATAGAGCTTTAAAAATGATTTATGGACTTAATATTTTTAAAATTATGACTCGATTGATATACGTCGGGGCATTACAATTCTTGTTGTACACAGAAAAAAAAAATAATTTTCTGTAATTTTTTAGCAATAAAAGAAATTTAAAAGTAAAAACAAAAATATTTACA